ATTTATTGTTGTCCTCTTCCTCTCATCTCTCCCCCAAATATTAATTTAGTCATTGCTTCTGAGCATGTTTAAGTTGGATCTGAGAGCTAAAACACACCTTTGCTCTGTCTCTTGAATTTAGGTGTTACCACTACTAATTTCTCAGAGCAGAACACGGGAGAATTTCCCTGTACCAAGAAACCAAGGGGGTTTTGTTTGAATTCATTCTAGGCCAGTTATCTTGAAAAATGATGCAGGGAATACTTTATAATAATAACAATAATAAAAACCTAACAACCAGATAAAAGAACAGTCCCATTTGTTACCATCTTCATAGAAAATGCAGTAAAATCTATGCATTTAATAAAAAAAATTGTTAATTATTAACACTACCTCTGGTGGTGTATCATCAGGAAAAATTTTCATTATTTCATACTCCAGTCTGTGTTGAATCCAGTCCAGATCAGCTTCTGCCTTCTGGAACTAAAATATTTAAGGTCAGGCACAGTGTATTAGAAACCAAAACCTGCAGACAAGCCCCAACCACTTGCCCTTCATGTGTTTCAGGAAAGCAGAAAACGGTTTTCAAACTTAATATTTCCAAAGTTCTGTTAGCAAAACCACAACCCAGCAGAGATTAAGAGCAAGTGTTCAGGATCCAAAAGTATCACCAGAGGTTCTGTTATTCATTATATCAGGGATGTGTTCTTTCAGCTGGTTTTAATGCCCACAATATATTCTATTATTCCCCAATAAAGCAGACTGACTAACAGCTAATAAAATTGATGACATCACTTTTCTCTCCTTGGGATAAATAAGCCACCAGAGAATTATCTAATTGCCTTGTAAACCAGTCTGCTGATAGCATTACTACTTAATTAATTTTAGCCTGTGATTTCAATATCTATTAAAGACTTCCACTCTAAAGAAAGGCAGTTTTCCCAGTTCACAGGCCACTCATTAATTTTTTTTACACAATAATTCGGTGATTTTTACAGTCACAGAAGAGACAGTGATGAAAGCAAGTTAAAAATGGTTGTAACTTCCTTAATTTGGTTTTCACTGTTTCTGTTGGGATTAACCCCACAGTGACCATCCCAACTTCTTTAAGGAGTGGCCAGGAATGCCTTTGAGGATCTGGAATTTCAGACAGCCTCAAGGAATAGGGTTTGATCCAGGATACTCTGCAATAAAACCCCCTTTCTGAGGGAGTGGAGGTGGGTGATGTTTCACACACCCTCAGTAAGTTTTCAAATAATAGCTTAAGAAAAGGAAACTAAATCTGGTGAAGAGCTTGAGCACCTATAAATCAAAGGGAAAAGCTTTCAGCCAGTACAGCCATAACTCACCATCTGCCCACCAAAACTTCTTCCCACACCTGCCCCAGAAACCAGCCATGATAAAATCCAGGAATAAAATACATTTCATTACACTACACACGTTTAAAGAGTTCAGGAGGGATTTTTTCCTTAACTGCCCAATAATTTCTCTTCTCCTCCACTAAGCAAACAGTTTTAGGTTTTCATTTCCACAGGCAGGTACCCCCAAAAAATAATTTTTTTTTGCTTTTCTCCAACCCCTTCATTTGATTAATTTTGGGAAAGCAGACAATGGGTACAGGTGGCTTTCAGAATTACCCATGAAACATTCAAATTGATAATTTGAGACTTCCACAAGGACAGGAACCCACTAACACCACACTACTACTGTGATCCAGGACATGAAAAAACTGGGTGTGAAGCTCAAAGCTTATCCATCACCTGGCTGGAATTTTAAGACCTGTGCTCAATGAAAAGCTTAACCCAGTTCAATATCACCGCTTTTTATTCCACAAATACTTATTTCTCGCTGTTATTTCCAGAAACACACACACACACACACCCCTGCAAAAATCCCACCTGGGTCAGAAGCAGTTTATTTGCCAACAGCCCCAAAGAAAATGCAGGTTTTGAAGTGTAAATCTGTAATTTACTCACGGGCTTGTCGGGGAGGGAGGCTGAAGGTGCTCTGCTCTCAGATGCTTTGACAATACTATTGCACTGCTCGCTGTACAGAACAGTAGTGCAATAAAGTCAGAGCACTCGTTAGCAGCAACAACTCCGGGCAGGGATCACCACCACACTCAAAAAAGGCAATAAAACACATCAGCTCACACAGTGGTTGCTGTGGATCACGAAGAACTGGGTAATATTCAAGTTCACCACACACACAGGAGCTCATGTATTTGAAGACATTGTTATTATTTGTAATTTGGTTGTTGCACTGGCCAAAAGAGGGGGGGGGGGAAATCCCAAACCACCCAACAAAATGCTCAGCAGAAAATTCGATTTCAGACAATTCTGGTGCTTTTTTTTAACTGAAAACTACAGTTCCAAATGCATTTATTTCTTAGGTTTGCCTCGTAGCAAGCGAAGGTTCGGAACTGCTGTCAGACAGATGTTCTTAAAACTGCATTACAGGGAATATTTTCTAGATATCAGTTTGTTCTTTATAATCTGCAGGTGCTGAATCACTTTAAAATGTACTTAAACACTTATTTCTCAACTCTGTGGATGTACATTATCCCTGGGGCTGCCACCTGGCTGTGAGAGCACCATCCCTGTGGGGGTGTATTTCATAAATCTAAATGAAAGTGCCTTTTTTTTTTTAACTTCATATTGAAAGTTTGAGAACTCTCCGGGTTTGGAGGTGCTGAGATCCTCAACAACAAAATGCAAAGAAACCTGGGGATGGAGCAGAGAAGAACCAGGAATGCTGGACAGTGTTCTTTGCTCCTTGCAGGGCACTCAGGAAACTCAAACCTATTTTACAGCTGTTTTGCAAATCACCCCCTGGTCTCAGGCAGTGACTTTGGACGTGTGACTGTAGCAAAAAATGAGAACAGAACGTAGACAGCATTGCTGGCCAATGCCCTTTTAACATTGCACTGCTTTTTGTGCATGATCACTAGTAGTACAACATAAAAAGGGCACTGGACAGACACCACTCCAGGAAAAAAAGTAGGTCCACAGTACCAAAAGTCCAGTGACAGAACCTGTCCAACCTGGCCTTGACTTATTTAAATTGAGAGCTTTATGATTTTTCTGTAATTAATCTCATACTGTAGATGTGGTGGTGTCACTGAACCATTGATTACCTGGGATTTTCATACACACTGTTCTGTTGAAACCCCCACTAATTAGTTTATCCCTGGTTCCACGAGACTTAAAATGAAGCTTCCCATGAAATTCGTGTCAAAACCTCGGGGGAAATAAGTGTTTTATCACAACTCTGAGCTCACGGGAAATCCAGGAAGAAGAAACAATTAGCAGAAGGAAAAGCAAAAGAGACACAAAGCTGGGATTTGTGAAACTGTTCCAAATTCCACCACCAGGTGTAAAACACCCTCTTAACTTTCAGGGAGCCAAAAGACACCTCTGTGACTATTTACGTGTCAGAGTCACTTGGAAGTAAGACTTTCAATAAAACACATATTTGAACCATATTAACTAAATAATAATCAATAAATAATAAATAAATAAAGCATACGACCCAAGTGCCTCTAAACGTATTTCTAAATTATTACTTCTAAACTAGGCTTAAAAAAAAAAAAAAAAAAAAAAAAGAATTCTAAGAGAAAAGATATGGGGAGACCGAGGGAGAATCTTTAATGTAAAAAAAGATCAGACAGAAGCAAGATCGAGGTTTTAGGGATGCCACAAGGAACTCGGCTGCTCCGGGACAGCTTTCCAGCGCCTCTCCGTCAGGGAAGCACAGCACAGCTTTTTTCTGGGAGGTTATTTTTTGCGCTTTTTTCCCACTTTTCCAGAAGCGGGGCAGACAGGGAGGCGACCATTCCATAAGGGAGAGTTCGGAGTCCAAGGCTGGGAAAACTCCTGGAACTGGAGCTGGGAAAGAAGGGGACCCATCCCACCCACCTCCTCCCCCCGTACTCAAAATGGTCCAGCCCAGGTGAGCGCTCCACCCTCTCCCCCCGCCGGGACGAAATGGACTCGCCCCCCCGCGCCCCGCTGTGCCCCGCGTTCCCCCCCCCCCCCCCATTCCCGCACGTGGTGCGGCCCGGCCGCGTCCCCCGCGCAGTGGGCGCGCCCGCCCCCCCCCAGGTGCGCGGGAATGGCCGCGCCCTGCCCCGCGCCGAGCGCGGCGCAGGCCCCGCCCCGCGGGGGGGGCCGCGCAATGGACCGGCCCGGCCGAACCCGCCTGACCCGGACGCGCCCGCCGGGCGCCCAGCCGAGGGCGGCGCGGGCCGCGCTCAGGGCCCGGATGCGGAGCGGCGGGCGCGGCTGAGCGGCCGCTCTTCCTCGTCGCGCCGCGCCCGTGCTCTCCCCGCCTTCCCCTCCCTTCCTCCTGTCCGCGGAGGCCCCGCGCCCCGCCAGGCGCCGCCGGCGGGCGGCCCTGCGGCGCGGGCGGCCCCGAGCGCGGCCGCCGCCCGCCCTCACCATGGCCTCGAGCCTGGCGACCGCCGTCTCCATGTTGAATAGTTGACATTCCTCAGGCGGCGGCGGGGAGATCCCCACCCCCCGCGCGGCGCACGGGAGAGCCGCCGCCGCCCATTGGCCAGCTGTCACTCGCCGCGCGCCCCCCATTGGCCCGCGGCGCGCCGAGCGCGCTCGCCATTGGCCCGGCGGGAATGTAAACCCGCTCCGAGGTACGGCGGCGCTGATTGGCCCGGAGTGGGCTCCGGGCGGTGATTGGCCGGGGCGGGGCGCGCGCCGCTGGCTGGGCGGGCCCTGGTCCCCCCCCAGGCTTCACCCCGGGTCCCTCCGGTGCCCCCAGCGGGGCTGCTGTTACGTCTCGTTCGCCTCACCGGCCACCACTGGCCGAGCGCTGCCCGCAGCTCATTGTCGGCGCCGGACCCGCTCGCCCAATGGCGGCGCCCGGGACGGGGCGGGGGCAGCGCCGGCCCCGCTCCGGTGAAGCGCGCGGGATGGGGCGGGGGGGCCCCTCAGCGCCGCGGCCAATCAGCGCGCGGCTTACACGCGCCGCGTGGGGGCCGCGGCTGAGAGCGGCGCTGCCATTGGCTGAGCGCGCCGCCGGGATCGGTTTGAATCGGCGGCGGCGGCAGTGGCCGGGGGGGGGGACGGACGGGGCGGCCTTGGGGCACCTCCCGATTCCGGAAGACCCCCCGGATCCTGGGGGGCACAAGAGACACCCCCGGGCTGCTCAGACACCCCCCGGCACCGGGGACACCCCCACAGGTCTGTGTGTGTGAGGAGCCCCCGCGCCCCGGTGCGGGGTCACCGGTGAGGGACCGACCGGGCCCGTCCCGGGGTCTCGTCTTCGTGTCTTCTGCCTCCGTTCTCCACAAGCGTCGTTTTGCCGAAATTCAGGGTTTGTCGCTTCAGGATAAAGAAAAACTGGGTATAATTAATATATCGATAATTTTAATGTTATATTTATTATAGCTATATTTATAATTTATTAAACCTATATGTTACTATTTAATATAGCTATATATTAATATATTTATTCTAATTATTTATAATAATTATATTTCTTTATAATATTTACTTCTTACATAAATAGGGGGAAAGAAGCCCATTATAAAATGGTGCTTTTTTTGTTCACTACTCGGGTACAAAGACATCCCTGTGGCTCATGAGAACTTGAGGATATATTTTTTTATCAGCATTATGTGATGCTTGCAGCAAGGCAGCTGTGAATAACCTCTGCCTGGATGTCTGGGGTGCTGCCCACGTTATTCTCTTGGGTGGCAGCTCTGTCCCAGTGTGTAATTTGGTCTCTGGACATTCATTTTAAATGTGTCTTTTTTAACAGCAATGGCAAAGCGTAAGAGATGCAGGCAAAAAAGGAGAGCCCGGGGAAGATTTCACCTGAAACAAAAGAGAGATGCTGCAAAGCCCCAGGGCTCAGTTTGTCCTTCCCCAGGGTAAGAGGCTCAGCTTGACCTTTGGCTTTTCACCCAATGCCTGGGTTTTGTTGTTTTGCTCCCAGTTCCTCCTGGAACTGAGGGAATAGAATTGTGTTTGGAGCCTGTCTCCATCCTGGCAGGGGTGCTGCGGAATAACTTCATCTCGTGGATCATCCTGAGCACTTACAAGGGGAAACAGCCCCAGGTTGTGCCAGGGGAGTTTCAGGTTGGATATTAGGAAAAGCCTCTTCACTGGTTTGGCCCCAGAACAGGTTTCCCATGGAAGTGGTGGAGTCACCATCCCTGGAAGTGTTCAAGTGACAAACAGACATGGCACTTCGTGATGTGGTTTGGTGTTACTCAGTTGAAGGTTGGACATGATGATCTTGGAGGTCTTTTCCAACCTTAGTGATTCCATGACTAACTTTAATAACCAGGAAAGGCAATTTGAATAAAAACAGATTTCAAATATTATTGCCCACCCTCCCCTTTTATTGAAATGCATCTTGGCCTCTCCTGGTTTCTCTGGTCACATTTACTCTCTTGTTACCTGCCACTCCTGCTTGTAATTTCCAGATGATTGGTCACAGTTAACTTTATTAGAGGCTGAAATGATAAATATAATTCTGGCCTCACTCTGAAATGTTCTGTTGCAGGTCAGCAGTTGATCTCCCTCTGAACCCAACACCTGTCCCAAGGTGCTCCCTCTGGCCATCAGCCTTGCCCAGCATAAAAGATGTGGTAAAACCCTTGGAATCAGCAGCAAAAAATATGATAAAACCCTTGGAATCAGCAGCAAAAAATGTGATAAAACCCTTGGAATCAGCAGCAAAAAATGTGATAAACCCCTTGGAATCAGCAGCATCGTTTCTGTATTGGTGGGGCCAGAACAAAATTGCACAGGTACAGTTTGTGTTTCTCCATTTTTAGCCATGTGTGAGGTGGTTCTTTGTGCTCAGACACAGGATTCACTGGGAGATTTGAGAGCTGAGCTGTACATTTAGTTACCTAAAGTGTATTTATTGAAACATTAAAACAGTGTATTGAAACATATAAAGTACGTTTAGTGTTTACTGTTGAAGGAATGAATAATGAGATGTGCCAAGACATTAAATCATAGAATCCTAGAATATCCTGTGTTGGAAGGGACCCACAAGGATCATCCAAGTCCAGCTCCTTGGACAGTCCCAAGAATCCCACCGTGTGCCCACTGCATATGTGCAATTGTAGGTTTTTTAATTGGAATATCAGCAGGATTTAAAGTGACAAAGTCTGTGGTTTTTCTTTCATAGCATGGAAATGATTGTTTGAGCTTTTCAGGTCAAATGTGAATTCTACTTTAGAATTCCTAGATGAAGTTAAAGTTCTTTTAGAAAGTCACTCCTCGGGTTCCTGTCAGGGAACTATTTGATGAAATTTTGTATCTTCCTGTTGTGCTTTTCCATGGACTGCAATAAGACCTTGCCATGGAACTTTCCATAGTAATCACAGGCATGTCTCTGGAAACAGAACCTGCTGGTGAAAACACTAATGTGCTTTCTTTTTATGCTCAGAGTTTTAAGGTGGTTAAAGACACCATATTTCCATCACAAATCTACTTAAGGGAACTTAATGCTTTGAGAGAGCAGCTGGAAAAGTTGGAAAGTGAATTTTCCAAGCTCCAAGAAACAGTCCAGGTCAGTGCCAGTCCCGGTGGGGCAGGGTGACGTTTGTCTGTGTGGGTATGTAAGGAACTGTGGTCAGTGCAGAAGCTCTGCAATCTGAAGGGTTCTCACAGGGCATTCCTGCAATTCAGTGTTGCTGAACTGCAGTTTCCTCACAGCCAGAGGGAACTGGTGTGCTGATGAGCCTCCTGAAAGGCTCTTGTGCCTGTACAGATCAACTTCAGCCAGAACCTTTGTTCTCTAAAATTCCATCTCCTTTTGCCAGTGGATTTAACGTCCTCTTGTTTATTTATGTCATTTTTCAGATGAACAGAACTGCAGCTTTGTCTCCAGAAAATCCTCTTTGCCAAAGGTGTCACAAACCAGTCCTGGGTGCTCCTGTACAGACACGGATGGACCTGCTGGCATCAGTGCCTGCTCCTCCCCCTCCTCCTCCTCCTCCACCTCCTCCTCCTCCCCCTCCTCCTCCACCACCACCACTGCCCCCACCAAAACTGCCTCCAGCACCTCTCCTCCTCAAACGGGGCACTGGCTCCAAAGCACTTCTGGTAAGGACTCAGAAGGCTCCTCTATTTTTTTCCCTAGTGCCTGGGTTCTTTGGGCCTGGATCCACTGGGAATGTGTGTGTTTGTGAACAGTCAGTCACCTGGCAATCCTGATTCCCCTTCCAAACCCCTTTGTTTTCAGGCACCACCAGTGAAGAAGGACGGGCCGATGCAGATCACGCTCAAAGACCTCCTGAATGTCAAGCTGAAGAAGACAAACAGCAACCTGAGAATGGACAAGGTAGACTGGAGGGGACAGGGATAACCAGGTGACAGTGCATTGAGGCAAACTCCACCCTGGAAATGGTGCCTTTCCTGCAGTGCTTGTCTTAGCCCATCATAGAATTTTTTCAGTAAATTAGTTCTTCTCTTCCAAAGTTTCACGTAACCATTCTAATTCTGCACCTGGGCATTTGAAGGGAAGAAATGAAGAGACCAACTCCAACCTCTGGCACGCAGGACAGTTCTGATTTTACATTAAGGCCATGGAGCTTTCCTGTGGATTTATGTCTGTTATCAATAGGTTTGGGGCTTTCTTTGCCCAGCCGAAGTATTGTTTGCAAAAGTGTTTCGGGGGTTTTTGTTTTTAATAGATCTATTTTTATCCAAGACATGTTCAAACCTTAATAATTCAAAAAAAAGCATAAAAGCCATAAACCACAAAAATCTTTCAGAGTATAAGTATTAAATAGATTTGAAGTTAGTGAAACGTTCTAAAGTTTTATTTGTGGTGACATTTCTTTCCTTGCTTTAGGCAGAATCACCAGGGAAGCCACGCAGGGCATTAATTACAGTCTCAGATCTACAGAGTATTAGTTTGAGACCTAAATCCAAGCCATCAGCTCACGTCACAAATTCCTTAATGTAAGATCCTTTCTTCCTTTCTTTGATATTAGATTTTTCTGTTTAAAACAGTGATTAACGTGGTTTACAGAGTGGAAAATATTTTATTTGTTTCGTTCTATTAGTACTCCCCCTAAAAATCAGATTGATCTTCGGAAACATCTGAAGAAAGTCAATATACAAAGGTAAATTCTCTCCTGTTCTCTGGATTCTTTTTTTTTTTTTTAATCTAGAAAAAAATAGAGAACTAATAATAATTCCCCTTGTGTCCAATCTTTCCAGAAGTCCTGGTGGCACTCCTCTAAATAATAAAGAAAACATTGAATGTGGCTCTGGGTTGACACCAATAATGACACAGGCACTGCGACGCAAATTCCAGGCAAGTCACTCTGTCTTTTGGAACAAGAAATTGGCTTTAAAATCCCTAGAATTTCCTACTGATTTTTCCCTACAGTGCAGTCCATACGACTTTGAAATTCGTAGTTCCACTTTGCAGAGGAACAAAATCTGAGGGTTAATAATGTCTTTTATTTTAATGACTTGCTCTGGTTGTTTTATGGTGTCAGCTGAGGACTGCACTGTTTTATCTCAGTCACAATTAGTTCAGATATCCAAGTTCTGACCCTTCCCTTGTTTTGACAGATGGCTCATCCGAAGAGTCCCTCCCCTGCCCGGTTAAGTGCTGCAAACAGCTTTGATGAAAAGTAAAAAGGAAAGTAGGTTTATGGAACAATGTATTTTTCATTTGTTGTCAGGATTTGAACTGGATTTCCCTTTTGAATCCCATTTTTATCACGCTCAGGCACATGTATTTGTGAGTGCACACGAGAACAGGATATTATGAAACCCTGTCAAGCAGATTTTACTTTTTATATTTCATAATGTCTCAGTTTCTATAATGTCTCGATTTGGTTGCATTTTCATTCTTAATGGAAACAAAGCATGAAATTTCCCAAGTCCTTTGACCACTGGCTGCTTCTGAAGCAGGGACTATTATGCTCCCAACACTGGTGCTGCTTGTCATACAAATACCTATGTGTTTGAAATTCAGTATTGTTTATACATCTTTTATATATATATATATATATATTATTTTTTTTTAAAACAAAAACTAACTACACGGTAACTGTACAGCTTCAAAGAAAAGCAACAGTTTAATGCACTAACATTATTAAATGGAAAAGCTGCAGGAGTCAACAGCCAGCTTGGTTCTGTGGCTACAAATATACAAGGCAATTGCACTGTGTATTGCTTCTGACTGGGGTCAGATCACTGTGAAAGGCTGAAATGATTCATGGCAAAGCAACTCAAAGACTCCTTCAAAGTCAAGTTTAAGAGCTGGGGGGGGTGGAGAGATGAGCCTGTGCTGTGACCCAGGTCAGGACACGGGCTGGCGATGGAATGCGAGTCCCGCTGTCCCTGCATCCCGGTCTGGGGGAGCGCACCCCGCATCCCGCTCCGCGCTCGCTGGGGACCAGAGCTGTCCAGGGTGGACGATGTGCTGTCCAACCCTCCGCGTCCCCCTCTCCCGCTGTCTCCACCCCGTTCTCAGCCGTTCCCTCCCCGAGCCGCATCCCCGGGGCGGGGCCGCCCATGCGCGGGGCCGGGAGCGGGGCCGGGGCTCCGCCGCTTCCGGGCGGGAGCGGGAGTGGGACTGGATCCGGGGGATGCCGCTGCCGGGCGGTGCCCCCGGGGCCATGGGCTCGGCCGTGGGGCCCATGAGCCTGCGGGACCTGCTGCTGGCGGCCGAGGCGGGCGGCGCGGCGGGCGGCGAGGAGGAGGTGTGCGTGGTGGGCATCTTCGGCAAGACGGCGCTGCAGCTCTGCTCCGAGAAGGAGGCCCTGGTGAGCACCGTGTGCGACCGGCAGGTCTTCCCGCTGTTCCCCGAGGAGGATCCCGAGCCGGCGGACGGTGCGGCGGGGTCCGAGGGTGACCCGGCGAGCAAGGACTACAACCAGCTGCAGGCGTACTACAGCCAGGAGAGCCGCGTGCTGTACCTGGTGCTCACCTCCATCTGCGACACGCCGCAGCTGCTCCGCGCCTGCGGGGACCTCACCGCGGCCGAGAACAGGGAGGCTGGGCCCGGACACCCCTCGGGAGGCCCGGCCCCGCTGCCCCACGCCGAGGCCCACGAGTTCTGGAAGCACCAGGAGAAGCTGCACTGCCTGAGCCTCCTCTACCTGTTCTCCGTGTGCCACATCCTGCTGCTGGTGCATCCCACCTGCTCCTTCGACATCACCTACGACCGCGTGTTCAGGGCGCTGGACGGGCTGCGGCAGAAGGTGCTGCCCTCCCTCAAGGCTGCCATCAAGGACTGCCCGGTGGGCAAGGAGTGGAAGCTCAACTGCAGGCCGTGCCCTCCGCGCCTCCTCTTCCTCTTCCAGCTCAATGGGGCTCTGAAGGTGGATCCCCTCCCCAGCAGGGGCCAGGACCCCTGCGGTCACCTGGAAAAGCCACCCCCCAAGAAGCACTCCCCCAAGAGGAGGCTGCAGCACGCTCTGGAGGATCAGATCTACCGCATCTTCCGCAAGAGCAGGGTGCTCACCAACCAGAGCATCAACTGCCTGTTCACCGTGCCTGCCAACCAGGCTTTCGTGTACATCGTGGCTGGGGGCCCCCAGGATGGAGATGACCCGGTGGCCATGCTTCTCGACCAGCTCAGGAGCAACTGCACCATGAGGGAGACCGACTCGCTGCTGACTCCCACGCTGTCGGGGCCCAGGAGGTACCAGATGATGCGGCACGGCCGGCAGCAGCTCTCCTTCCACGCAGAGAGCAGCAGCTCCAGCTCCAGCTCCTCTGGGCAGCTCGTGGACTGCACCCTCAAGGAGTTCTTGTGGCAGCATGTGGAGCTGGTGCTCAGCAAGAAGGGCTTCGATGACAGCGTGGGGAGGAACCCGCAGCCCTCCCACTTCGAGCTCCCGACCTACCAGAAGTGGGTCGCTGCAGCTTTGAAACTGTACGAGGTGACCATCGAGGGCAAAGACGACGACCCGACCTCTGGGGAGCTGAGCTCCAAGATCATGAGCAGCATCAAAGTCTTGGAAGGCTATTTAGACATAGACACCAAGTTCTCAGAAAACCGTTGCCAGAAGGCTCTGCCCATGGCCCACAGCGCCTACCAGTCCAACCTGCCCCACAATTACACCATGACAGTGCACAAGAACCAGCTGGCCCAGGCTCTGCGGGTGTACAGCCAGCACGCCCGGGGCCCAGCCTTCCACAAGTACGCCATGCAGCTCAACGAGGACTGCTACAAGTTCTGGAGCAACGGGCACCAGCTCTGCGAGGAGCGGAGCCTGACGGACCAGCACTGCGTGCACAAGTTCCATCTGCTCCCAAAAGCAGGTAGAGATGCTCACTTGTGGTTGGGTTTCATGGTTTAGTTCTGTATCTGCTTTAAAAACACCGACTCTGGCACGTTAAGGAAGGTGAAAGTTTGTAGCTTGCACGTGGCACTGAGTGCTCTGGTCTAGTTGCAAGGTGGTGATGGGACAAAGGTTGGATTCAGTGATCTCAGAGGTCTTTTCCAACCTCAGTGATTCCGTGATCATCTTTGTACAGTGGGATTATAGCACAGCTGTTGTGTAGGTTTCCCTTATGTTGAATAATGCTTGGGAGCCAAACATTAGGAAATTAATGACATTTGGGAGCCATACAGTCCACTGTCAGTGGACTTTGATTTTAGTAGTAACTCTAATTTTAGCAACTCTAAATTAGTGGTCACTCTAGTTTTAGTAACTCTAATTTTAGTGGTCACTCTGATTTTGTCTTGCTAATTAGAAGCATCACACTGAAGTCCTTCTAATAAGTGGTGTGTAAGAGAACAAACTTTCTCTAGGAAGCAATAAGTGCCCCCATTTGTTTTAAATAACTTGGTTGATGGCAATCAAGGAGTCAAACTGCCTGATGTGTGTTTATTGCAGGCAGAAGAACTTTGAGCCTTTTAGGAAGAAGTTGTAAAAACAAGATTCAGTTTAGTGGTATAACCTCCACTGGAACTTTGTGTTAAAAGGGGGAAAGGGAGGAATTGCTTGACAAGCTGCTGGCAAATCATTTTATGTGTGTGTATTAACAAGGAGGAAGCAGAGGGTGAAGGGAATTAATCTCTAGAAATGGTGAGCAATTTACCCAGGGTTTGATTGATTTTTTTGCTTTTAGGGGAAAAGCCAGAAGCAGACAGAAATCCTCCCATCCTGTACCACAACAGCCGGGCTCGTTCCACTGGGGCCTGTAACTGTGGAAGGAAACAAGCTCCTCGGGAGGACCCCTTTGATATCAAAGCAGCTAATTATGACTTTTACCAGGTAACTGTAGGTCTGTTGTTGCTTTTGTTTCATCAGCAGAGTCTGTATTCTGAAGAGACCACGAGTTTCCTCTTAACCTTTTCACCTTGTTGCTTGGGGAAGATGTTTCTGGGAGCAGAAATTGTCTGAGCAGAGTGGGCAGTTCCAGTCCTCACCAGTGCACACACACAGGAGCACCTGTTTACACACCTATTTACACTTTGAGTGTGTTGTTTCACGTGGATTTTAAATAATCAGGGCTGTGGGTCACATACCCGTCACTGTTTTGGTTCTCACATAGCTCAAACCTCTTGAATCTTATTTGTAGCTGCTGAATGTTGTGGCTTTGAACTCCCTGATCTCAGGGGTGAGAAGGGGTGTAGTTAACCACATTTTCTTTCTCGTAGCTACTGGAAGAAAAGTGCTGTGGGAAACTGGAGCACATCAACTTTCCCATATTTCAGCCGAGCACACCTGATCCGGCGCCTGCTCGGGATGAGTCCTCGCCTGCCCCTCCAGAGGGCGAGATTGAGAAACTTAAAGAGAAAGAACCTCAGACTCAGGGAGAGAGCACAGGCCTGAGCTTAGCCCTCAGCCTGGGCCAGTCCACGGGCAGCCTGGGCACTTACCCCCCCGATGCCCAGGGTGGAGGGGACAATGCAGAGAGTCACGGCCAGAGCGGGGACTCCAAAAGTGAGAAGAGGCCGAGCCTGGTGGATCGCCAGGCGTCCACTGTCGAGTACCTCCCCGGGATGCTCCATTCCAACTGCCCCAAAGGCCTCCTGCCCAAGTTCTCCAGCTGGTCACTGGTTAAGCTGGGGCCTGCTAAGGCTTATAACTTCCACACTGGTTTAGATCAACAAGGCTTTATCCCGGGAACAAACTATTTAATGCCTTGGGACATCGTCATCAGGACGAGAACCGAAGATGAAGGAGACTTGGATACCAATTCCTGGCCTGCACCCAACAAGGCCGTTCCTGGAAAAAGGAGCGCGGTTGTGATGGGAAGAGGGAGGCGGAGAGACGACATCGCCCGAGCTTTCGTGGGGTTTGAGTACGAAGATGCCCGTGGGAGGAGGTTCATGTGTTCGGGGCCCGATAAAGTCATGAAGGTGATGGGAGGGGGGCCAAAGGAATCTGCCATCAAAGCCCTCAATTCCGACATGCCGCTGTACATCCTGTCCTCCACCCAGGGGCGAGGCCTCAAGCCACACTACGCCCAGTTCATGAGGCTCTTTGTGGTGGTTCCTGATGCTCCACTGCAGATCACGTTAACGCCTCAGGTAAGGATGGAAGAGGGAATCTGGGAACAGCAGAGGCAGGGGTGGCTGTGGCAGCACTGATGCAGGACTGGGAGGCGTGAGGGTGACAGGGAAACGGTGTCAAGAAACTCCAATTCAAACCAACTTCAGCCAAGTTCTCTAGGGCAGAAAAGACCAAAATTATCTGTTTTAAACTTAAGTTTTTAAAGTTCAAGATTGGCTTATGCCAGCTTTATATTTTGCATGAAGTAAGTTTAAAGAAAGTGTTTTATCAAAGATGAGTTGTTGGCATTCCCTACTGTAATGATGGCTTTTTTTTAAAAAAAGAAGATAACAAGTGAGTAATGACTGTGTAAGGATGAATTTATCATTTTAAATGTCATGGAGAAAAAGCAGTGACTCATGGCTGAGATTAATTATTATTAGTTTGAATTCGGGAGGTGAAAAAGTGTTGGGGTTTTTTTTAACTGTTTTCAAATACGTATTTAAAACATGGAGAAAAACTCCATTTGCACTTTTTTACTGTTTAAGGTAGTAATGATGTTTGATTATCTACTCACGCTTCCTTTTGATTTTAGGTTCAGCCAGGGCCACCACCCTGTCCTGTATTTTACCCTGAGAAGCAGGAAATTACCCTTCCCTCTGATGGACTGTGGGTGCTCAGGTTTCCTTACGCCTACGTGACGGAACGTGGACCCTGCTTTCCTCCCAAAGAAAGCCAACAGTTGATGAGCTACAAAGTTCTCCGGGGAATACTGAAAGCAGTTACACAATAAGAGTTGTCCTGGTAGATTTGTTTTAGGTTAAAAAGACCATCTTCAGTCCAATTCCTGGATTTTGGTTCGTGTTGCCCAAGAGGTGTCACTGCGATCGTGTGAAGCCCCACTGTATCTCGCTGGAACACAGACTGAAAAGAAAGTCTGATACGTGTAAATTTTCCATTTATTAAGTTTTCATATGTAAAAAATAAATGCTGGTTTTCATAAAGTACTGATCCTGTATTACTAGATGTTTTGATGATAGTGCTTTTCCCCATCCTAAATACTTAGGGATGTTTAAAAATTAGCATTGCCTGAAATCAAGAGCTTCCTGTGTCATATTGAGTCAATGATGAGCAGAATTTTTCTCTTCTTCTAAACAAGCTATTTGTATGCAGGCAATGGATGCTTTTAATGTGATAACGGGAGAAATAATTTGTCTTTAAAAAAAGGTACTGCAGTTCTGATGTGTACTAACAGCCAGAAACCACTTACCTATATCAAGTTGAAATATCTTGCACTATTTGTATTCATCAATTAGATTTTGTTAAAAGGCCAACTTAATTTCATATTTTGGATTAACAGATCTCTTTGGAAACTGAACCTGCTTGTAAATTTTTGGAAAATGCAGAGGTAAATAAGCTGGTTCTCTATAAAAACTGCAGCTTAATTGTCTCTATAGCCTGACTTGTAGTGATTAAACAGACTTTTGGTTGCTAAAAGGATGGGTTTGGTCCAGTTTGAACCTCAAATTGAGGGAGTTTGGTTAATTGTAGAACACTACATGATGTATTGAAGGGTAACTTAAATCCTGTGAACATCACTGTGGCTGTTGGTGCCAAAAAATTAGCCACAGTAAATCAACTTGTAACTTTTGCCGAGGTAAGATGTACTAGCGACAGCGCCTGTGTGCTGAGACCTAATTTAATTTCTAGAATATTTGTTTCTAATTAGCATGTGCACAAAATTTAATTTGCCAGTTTGCTATAGTACAATAATTATACTGCATGACCGGATTCGAGACCTGGTTTCTGCTTGGAAGATGACATCTCTGAGGGGCTGGGTGTGGGAAATGCATCCCTCCCATTTGGAATATGAAATCTCTGAGGAGCCGAGTGTGGAAAATGCATCCCTTCATTTGGAATATGGCATCTCTGAGGGGTTGGGTGGGGAAAACGCATCCCTCCCACTCAGAATATGACATATTTGAGGGGCTGGGTGTGGGAAATGCTTCCCTCCCGTTAGGACTGTGCCATTAGGGGTTGAACTAGATGATGTTTAGAGATCCCTTCCTACCCAAACCATTCTATGATTCCATGATCTCTGAGGGGCTGGGTGAGGGAATCGTATCCTTCGCATTCTGAATAGGACAACTCTGAGGGGCTGGGTCGGGAAAACCCATCCCTCCCGTTCAGAATACGACATTAGGGGTTGGGCTGGATAATCTGTGAAGGTTCCTTCCAACCCAAACCGTTCTATGATTCCGTGATTTCTGAGGGGCTGGGTGGGGAAAGCGCACCCCTCCTGTCTGGAATATGACACCTCTGAGAGACTGGGGTGGGGAAAAACACATCCCTCCTGTTTGGAATAAAACATCTCTGAGGGGCTGGGCGTGGGAAATGCATCCCTCCCGTGGGGAATACATTAGGGGTTGGACTAGATGATGTTCAGAGATCCCTTCCCACATAAACCGTTCTATGATCTCTGAGGGGCTGAGTGGGGAAAATGCACCCCTCCTGTTTGGAATACGACATCTCTGAGGGGCTGGGTGGGGAAATCACATCCCTCCGCCTGCGAGGAGGGAGCAGCGGCAGCGAGGTGGGAAATTGAAGCGTGTAACTGAGAACTGCCCACACCATTTGCCAAGTGGGGGTTTTTTTGACAGCGACGGTCCGGGCCCGCCAGGCGGGCGCTGGGCGTGGAAAAAACACATCCCTCCACCTGCCCAGCGGGAGGGCACCGCCGGGGACGGCGAGACGGGGAAATTAAAGCGCGTTAATCTAATTTAAACAAGAACTGCCCGCGGCGCTTGGCGAAGCGGTTTCTGATAAGAGCCGCCGGTGGCTGAGGGGAGCGCTCCCGCCTCACGGCCCGGCGCGCACCGCGCCTGCGCTCTCCGCCGTCCCCGCTGCGCGGGCGCAGAGGCTCCGCTCCCTCAGCGGCTCCCGCTCCCTCAGAGCCTGCGGGTCCCGCAGCGGCGCCGGGCGGCGACCGGGACACGGACGGGGGCAACCGACCAGAGCCGCAGGATGTCGGCCACGCTCTACGTGCTCTCCACGCTGGGCGGATACGTCCTCACCTCCGCGCTCCTCCTCAAGTGCCCGGGGCTGCTCCACCGGCCCAAGCGGCAGCGCTTTCGCTGCCGGCACATCTCGCACCGCGGCGGTGAGTGAGGGGGATGGAGGGCGAGGGGAGGGAACCCTTCCCGCTCCTCAGGGCTCCGCGGCCCCCGGGCGGTGCTCCCCACATTCCCGGGATGCTGCTCTCTCCCTCCCCGGCCCCTGTGCCCGTGGCTCGCAGCGGGGCTCCCTTTAAACCTTCCTCCCGCAGCCTAATTTTAGGTGCCACCTGCTGACCACCGCTTCGTCTCAACATCGAATTAATCTCCGAAGTCAAACGGCGCCGGCCGAAATCAGCTTTGTTTCGCTTTGTTCCCCTCTCGAACGTGTATATTTTTAATTCTAACGAGTCTGTATTCTGCTGTCTCTCTCCCTAACGAGAGACACCTCTGGCTGTGCCTTGGATGAGGTGCAAAAGATCAATTTTCTTTCCTCCGACCTCCTGTTTGCTTTGCTCTCTGCTTTTCAGGAGAAACACGATTTGCTGTGACTCTGTTCTTGCCCCCCTTGGCATTACAGGCAGTGACTATTTCAGTACCCTGGTAAAACCGATCCAGTTTGAGAGTCTTGTCCCCTCCTTGTGCCAAGGCCTTGTGGGTTGGCTCGCTGCTTCTGTCTACAATAGCTAAGTCAGGTTTTTAAAGTTTCTTCCACCTTTTCCGAAGCACTGGGAGGAAAAAAAAGTGAAGATCAGTTCTGTGCTTTTCTCTGCTGCCTCATTCAATCTGTGGAAATAGTCAGTTGTCTAGTAAATATTTTTTTATATTCTGGGGGAGGTAGGCTGAGTTAAACAGTTTTCAATACCATACCCTGAGCCAGTTTATGCAAGGGTTGATCACAGTTCTAGACAATGGTCCTTAACTAATGCTCTGCCTGGAATCATTACAATACAAAAACTAGAGTTGATCTTTATAGTTTTTATTACTGGCATTTCTTTCCTTTTATTTATACAGCAGTTTAAGTTTCTTTATAGTCTTCAAATATAGCATAAAATGCACCTTTTGGTGTGGAATACATATATTGTTTGTTTCTTGGTAGGTATGTGCTTTCCTTCAAGCAACAAAGTTCTTAATTTCGAGTGTTACCTCTTTGTTTGTGTGATTTGCAAGCGGTAAAAAACTTGCAGGCGACTTTGTTGGGACGTGGAATGATCTCCTTAATCCTCTCTTCTCACTTCCTTGCAAGGCCCTTAGTTAAGATACACAACCCTAAGCCTCCAATGCAACTGTTTGGGCCAGTTGCTCTAAGCTCCATTAGAACAACAGGAAAGCCTTACTTACTTAAGGGGGGATTATTCCTTAGGCACTCAGAGGCAAAGTCCACGGTCTGTGGGCTGTTCTGCGTCCACATGTATCCTTTGAAATCCACCCGAGGCAGGAGCACAGCCCTGAACATCTCAGCAGCTCTTGGCCCAGGCTGGAGATCACCTGCTCTTTACTCTCTGGGGTGTTTACCCTGTAATATAAATTCCTGTGGGACTTAAGTTCTCCTCAGGCTCTAGTCATGCTGTAGCTTTAGAAGCAGTGTCAGGTTTCCCATTGCATTACTCCAATTAACTTGGGAGATCAAGATAACACTTAACTTGTCCGGCTTTTTCCTCTCTGAGATGAAACCTTGCACGTGAGGTATTTTAAGTCTGAGGGTTTTGATTTCACTCACTTCTTTGTGCAAGTACTTTCTTATTTCATAGCTCATCAGTGGAATCGTCCCTCAATTATTTCTTTACTTCTGCATCATTTTAAAATCAGTCATTTCTGAGAACAATAATTAAGTCTTGATATTCTGTGTTAGAGTCCTCTGTCAGTGCCAGCAGCCCTGGGTTGAAGGGTCTTTGAGACAGGGTAGGATTATGATTTTTACACAGAATGGTCGAGGTTGGAAGGGACCTCTGGAGATGATCTTGTCTGACCAGAGCAGGTGGACCAGGACCTGGTCCAGTTAGGATTTGAGTACATCCAGGGGTGGAGGCTCCACAACCTCTCTGGGCAGCCTCTTCCAGAGTTTGATCACCCTTGCAATAAAAAGGGTTTTTTTCTTATGTTTATAAACTGAAATTCCTGTATTTTAAGTTGTTCCCATTCCTCTTGTCCTTTCCCTGGGCACCACCAAGAGGAGTTTGGCTCAGTTGTCTTTACTCCCTCCCATCCGGTATTTAGACATCGTAGGATCCTTCCTGGCCTCTGTTTTCCAAACAGAGCAAAACAATTCCACCCCCTTCAGCCTCTCGTTGTACACAAGAATCACCCCTTAATTCTCACAGCCCTTCTCTGGATTTTTTCCAGTAGATCCATGGGTGCCTTGCACTTTGGAGCCCAGAACTGGACACATCCCTCCAGGTGTGTGAGCAGAGGGGAACAATCACCTCCCTTGACCTGCTGGCAGTGTTCTTCCTAACAGGCTCCTGTGGGGGAAAACCCCAAAAACCTCTGAGGGTCATCTCCTTGAGCCAGTGCAGGATGTTGACTCCCTCTTTGGCCATGGTGGTGCTTTCAGAGTGGGAATATGGCAGTGGATGTTCCCATTCTGGCTCACGGGATGCTGGGGAAGGTCGGTTCCTCTCTGGGAATGTGACAGCACGGGGATCTGGAGGTGCAACTGAGGAAGTGTCAGAAGCCCTTTGGTCAGCCCAGGATAGAAGGTGATTTAGTCCATCACATCCCTGGGTTGTGGAGTTCCTCCTGCTGGGTGTGGTTTGTGAAAGCCACTTTGCTGATCTAGAATTCCTGTTCCAGCTGATGTCTCAACTTTGTTCCTCATTTCCCCTCAGTGACCCAAGTCAGGCCTTTGAGTCACCAGACCTACCTCCCTCACATGTGACTTGTTACATCAGTCACTTCAGGTTTTATTTTTGGAAAACTTCTGCCCAGGAATGTTAGGATATTATTCTTTTGTTCACAAACTGAAGACTGACTCGGGTTTTTTCCCTCCCTCTCTTAGAATTCAGGATGTAGGGGCTGTATTACCACAGTTGATAAGTTATCTAAACACCTCTATTATTATTGCAGTTAATTGGTAACTAAGCATCCAGGGCCTGTGCAGGGCTTTCCCATCTTTGGGGCAATCAGCACATGGATACCATGAGGTTTTTGTGTTCTTCTCTATCCCAGAACAATTCCTAATTCTGCAATCAAATTGCACAAAATATTGGTGAATGTCTAACCACAGAAGCTGTTGTGGATTTACCATATTGTTTTATGTTAAACCCTGCAGATTTTGCCTTTATGTTCTGAGTTCAAATCTTTCATTTTGTAAACCTCCCAATGGGAGCTCACCTGAGAACAACAATTTTAAATTGCTGGTTGTGCATTGCTTTCATTGAGTAACTGAGCACAGGCTTGGGTAAGTATGTCCTGGTGAGGTCTTGTTAATAGGCAAGGCCTTAATTGGAGCTTTTGTAATTGCTGTTTACAGAGTCTGTCATTCATTACTGTCAAAGAGCAGTTAAAATTTGCATAGATATCCTCATCAGCACATGTATCCTCCTGAGGTTTTGTTTTTCAGTCTATAATACTGCCAATTTTCTGAGGAAGGGAGAAGGCACAACCTTTTCCAGTCCCTAATCAGGCTGATTGATAAGGATTTTTAGGCAGAGAATGATGGCTCAGGAGTTGCAGAGTTTACTCCTGCCTGAGAGAGAACTTTATTTGTCTGTCCTTTCATTTATTAACAGTTGATGTGTTTCATATTCCTCCTGTGGGAGATCTCCCTTTGCCAGCAGCAGAAACCTTTATTGACAGATTTGTGCTGTTTGGGGAATATCCTTGCACTGAAAAAAAGAGGTTGTCACCTCTGAGCATCAGCTGGGTTATACATTAAGGGAGTATCAGCTTTAGAGTGGCTTGGGTGCTTTTTTTTTGTAGTTTTTTTCCTCCTGTTACTCCTCCCATCAACTCTCAAATAGACTTTTTGCATGTACTGTGGAGCACATTGTCCCAGGCAAATACAGTGGCTTTGAGGAAGAACCTCTGGTAAAACAAACACTTTGTTTTGTATTTTCAAAGTGTCACACAAATCCAAACTAAGTTATCTTTTTTTTTTTTTTCTGTTTTTAATTGTTTTACCTTGAGAAGGTCCTGTCTCTCCAGTAGGTTGGTGGCAACGGGGATTTCTGACTCATTCCTCCAAATATTGCCTTAAAATATATACATGTTTAAAATCCATTTGTTTTTAAAATTTATTTTCAGTGGGGTGGAGGGGAGGAAAAGGATTTTATACATGTTTTATTTCTGTTATTTCTGTAGGTGCTGGAGAGAACCTGGAAAACACAATGGCAGCCTTTCACCAGTGAGTACAAAAGGAAGCTCTAATCCTAAATTAGGTGTTCTCAGTGTCTTTAGTGAGTGAAGCAATCAAGGAAGGTGGGACTTCCATCAGCTCTTTGGGGGGCAGTGTCCTATTTCTGAAAGCCATCTCTCCTTTGGATGACTCCTGTGGATTGCCAAACATCCATTTAAACCAGGAGGAGTTGGGATACCACAAATTAGGATCTGTACACGAGAACAAATGGAAATAGAACCCCTGGGGCCTGATCTCCTGTGCTAGCTCATAAAACAGGAAACAATGCTGCTTCTGTGTTTAATGGTGATTACTCCTGTTAGTTTATTTATCATTATAAAGCTAAAAATCTCATGTTTTTTTCCCCTGCATACACTTCAGTCATGCAATGTGTGAAAGCCTCTTACCCAGGGGTTTAAAATGGGGTTGGTACCAGAAAGCCTTTTAAGCCTCCAGCATTTAAGCAGTGAATTCTAATAAGGTTCTCAAAGGCATTTGAAAAAGGAGCATATCTCAAACTCCAGCTGCTAATGAGAAGGGACAAAATTATGTGGGCTTCTCTTTGTTGTCTTTGGGTTTTTATAATTTGCTTTGTGCTAAGTGGCCTCATCAGTTTGCTGTTTCCCTGCAGCCTGAGGAGTGCCAGCTCTCCCAACCAAAGAAAAGAAAGTGCTGCACTATTTTTCTATCTCCATGGAAGCCCAGCATAGTTTTGTGTGGTTTTCTTTTTTTCCTGCTGGCCTGCCTTTCTTCAAGCCTGCTACCAGCCTTTCTGGGAAGTGCTTCTTCCTTTTTTTTAACCATTTCTTAATTTTCATTTAATATCATGCTGGTTCTTTACATGAAGGGCTCTTGCAAGGGAAGTTACACTTTAATTACTTTTATTTCATTCCCAGAAATAAGCTGGAGTGCTTGGAGCAAGGATTGTGCTAGGAGTCTATGTGATAATACAGGCTTTTATCTGACTCTCTTCTGATCACTTTAATTGTTTTATAGCTGTAGTGTAACAAATGCTTTGAGGTCCAGTTTTTGAACTCATCACAGGTGCCAATAGCAAAGTTCAGAGCCAGACAAGCAGTCAGAGCAATTTCTTTGTCTTAGGCAGTAGAAATTCTGGCTCCCTCTGTGAAGGGGCAAAACCTTTGTCCTTCCCATCTGCTCATTCCCATCTCCACAAGTAAAAGGAATGGGGTGGAAAATCACTGATCTGGATGGTGGAAAATTATCCTGGTTGGCTCAGAGGGCTGGTGGGAACTGATGAATTTATAATCCATCGGATTTTACGTGAATACAAACAGGGTGTGTCTGCAGGAGCTGCTCCTGCAGGTTTGGACAAGCAGGAAGATTTGGCTATTGCTGTAGAAGAGAATATGAGTCTGCAGCCCTTGGTTTTGCCTTAATGACAGTCATCTAAGTACTGATAAGAGCTTTATTTATGCTATTTGCACTTTAACAGTGATTAGAGATTATCTAATACTGTTGCATGATAATGAAGAAGTTATTTTAGTAGTCTAGAAACAAAGTGTATGGGGGGAGGAGGCCTTATTGGCAATTTCCAGTTCTATATTAGCTTAATTTACAAATATCCTGGAAATCAAATAAAAGCTTCTTGTACCAGAGACACTATATTTATGGTTTTGCATGATAAAATGCCTGGTAGATTTTTTTATTTTTTGAGGGGGGGGACACACGACACTGTAATCATGTTATACTGCATTTAAATGAGTTTGTGCTGGTTTTAGATTTTAAAATAACTAATTTCAAGCAAGAGCACTCTCATCCTAATTTGCAAATGTGAGCCTCCTTCACAACTGGAGTTCTGGAGCAGCTGGATCTGACTCCACATGAGGCTCTGAATGTGGAGCCTTCTCTGGAGCAGTGTGGATTTGACATGTTATTACAGAGCTGCAGAACAAACTGATTTCCAGCTGGAAAAGCTCAGCACTTCAGGAAGCTGCTTTAGCAGCGAGGGCCTGGCAAATCCCCAAATTTGTTAACAAGGAAAGTTGTTGTTCTCCTCTTTCCCACCAGCCCTGCCTTTCTCAAGCCCTAATATTTCTAATAAATTTTGCTGGTTAAATGATAATGTGTGGTACTAGATGGGAACATCTTCTCCCAGTTTGGCAGATCTCCTGCAGCAGATTTGGAGATGCTTTTCCTCAGGAGGAAAAAAAAAAAAATCACCCAGAACAGCCTGTGATTCTTCCATATGTAACAGGATTTTGTTCCTCTCCTGATTCTTAATTAGCAGCACTGGAAAACAATTCACAAATTGGTTTTAATTTGACAACCCTCCTCTTGATCATTATCCCAGCTGGACCAGGAATTGTGTTAAACACTTAAGGGGGTATGTTCTGATTTTTGTTTGTTTGGTTGGTTGGTTTTTATTGCATTTGTGAATGTTTAAGGCCTGTGAGACCATAAATCCCGTAAGGAAAAGGCTGTCACTGAAGTCACAGAGCTTTGGGTCCCACGTGGGCACAGCTCAGAGGGGCTGCAGGTTTGCCCATGGGTGGATAAAAAGAACAGCCCAGGGTTTGGAAGGAAGTGTTCAGACTTTTATCTGTCTGCTGGAATGACACCTCCTGAGGATCTTTTCTAATTAAATGAGCCATTCCCTTCTCATTGCAGTAAAGCTTAGTTTTTCTGATCTAGTGTGAGCTTTCTTGTGCTTATTTTTCCTCAGTGTTATTGCCACTTCCCTGCTTGCTTTACTCCTCCTGTGAGCCAAGCTACTGTGGAGTGGATTTGGGATTGGATTAGAACTTCTCAAAGCAGTGGATTGGAACAGGAATAGCTGTTTTTATTTAAAAATATGACCGGATGTTTTAGTGGTTCATTTCTCTTTAAATTTAAATTAAAACTTTTTCTTTAAAGTGATAATTTTTTAAGGTTGTTTTGCTACCCAAAAAAGCCAAGAGCCTGAAAGTCCTACAGCTAATTTCCTGATACATTAATCAGGAATGGATGGAAATCAAATTTAAAAAAAAAAAAAAAGGCTTTCACATCCCTGTCATTTGTTGTTTCTGTTACCACAAATTTGATTACTTTCTTAAACAACAGCTCACTTCCTCCAGTGCTAAATGTGCTGCCACTAATGAACATCACACTCCAAATTCTGAAAGAATACTTTAGGAGCAGGTTTCTCAATCCTGAGGCTGCAATCCACAGCTTCCACAGGCTGAATCCTATGGAAGATGGAGCCAAAGCTCCCGTGTTCAAATCTCATCTTTGATTTATTATTTATTCATGCATCAGCTTCCCACTGCAGCAGAGTTGTTTGAAGCAAGCTTGTGAGGATCCATTGCATCCTAAAGCATCTGAAGTGCTTCCAGTGGGATCAGTTTATGGAATGACATGTTGGCTTTGGACGTGGACAAAGCACACGTGTGTTTTCTTGCAGTGCTGTTAACTTAGGAACAGACATGCTGGAGCTGGATTGTCACCTGACTAAGGATGAGCAAGTGGTCGTGTCCCATGATGAGAACCTGAAGAGATCCACAGGAGTGGATGTCAACATCTCTGACCTCAAATACTCTGTGAGTTGAGCAGAAAATGCGGTGGGAGATGCTTAAAAATGAGTTTGTAGAGAGGCTGGGGTGGGCAGGAAGGTTTTGTGTGTGTGTGTCTCTCTGGTCCCCAAAACCAAAGGACAGGATTCACCTTGTCTTGCCAAAACCAACCCAAAGTTCACCAAACTCCCTGTGCAGTCAGAGGATCAAACCTGGCACATTCCAGAGGGTGATGAACCCCTCTGGTGGGATGAGTGGCTCCCTGGAGCTGGGCCTGTTCTGATGGCAGAGCAAGGGAACTCAACAAGCTGCTCGTGGTGTGACCAGATTTTTACTGGGAAAACTGGTAGATGGATCCCATTTGTAAAAGTTCTGTCTTACAGAACTTTCCATCTGATGTCTAAGTGGAATTCTCAGAATTTTCAGGAAGGCATCTGGAAATGTTTTGCCTTATTCAGCTGCAGGTAACACAAATCTAAGAAGGCCAATAATTCAAGTAATACCGAATGTGCTGCTACTAAATCACTTCTTTGGTGAGAAGATACTAAAAAAAGTAGTATTTTTGCCTTTAGAGATAAATGGCTTATGAATTACAGGTTTTTTTGGTCTTTTTGGAGAAGGTCATGGTTACATCCCTGCATTTGAATCACTGTTCCATTTCCCTTTATTTTTAAGGAACTTCCACGGTATCTCTGCAAGTTGGATGTCACATTTCAGAAAGGTGAGTTTATCTCTTGCTGGTTCAATTTACAGTAACTAATTTTCCGTTTTATAGTGTGGCAGTTTCCTATTTTGTAGTATAAAAGTGTTTTTTCTTCTGTCAGCATCTTGGTAGGTTTTAAAACTAAAATACAATCCCAGCTTTAGAAACCAGCACAGTAGTTACTGTAGGTAAGACTTTAAGCTCAGAAGGAAATTTTGTTCTCATTTGGTGTTTTTTCATATTAATCTCGTTGCATTTGGTGTGTGGTAACTGAGGCTGTGTTTGCTATTTCAGGATTTTAGCATTGCCTGCACTCCTACTGTTGCTAAATAACGTCTGAATTTCATGAAGTTAAAAGCTAAATATGCAACGTGCTCAGGGCATTTTCATTGTGGAAACGAGCTTGTCATAATTTCAGTCGAATAAAGTAATTTTTTTGTTGTTTAAAAATGTGATAACCCCAGGAACTTCATACTTTTTAAAGTTTTAAGGGTAAGGAGTGCTGTGACATCTCAGCTTTCATTAAAAGTGGCCTGAGCAGTGACAAGTGTGTTGTTTCCCCAGAGTGTCAGTGTGAGGGGAAGGACAACCGTATCCCCCTCCTGGAGGAGGTGTTTGAGGCATTCCCAACAACTCCTGTCAACATTGACATCAAGATGAACAACAATGTGCTGATCAAAAAGGTACCAGAAAAAACCTGGGCTGGGCTGGGAGGGAATGAAACACAACCACAGACTCAGCTGGGCTGGAAAAGAGCTCTGGCATCACTGAGTCCAACCTCTGGGGATGCTGACATGGCAAAAGAAGAGTTTCTTGGAGTTGGTGGCAGCAGATCCTCTTTATCTAGTGGGGTTCTTTTTAAATTCTTTAGGGTTTTTTGTAGGTATTGATGGTTTTCTTTTCTGTTCTCCTGAACTCCTGTTTATTTCCAACCAAAGCATCACAGCCATCCTAAGATGGGGGAGAGACCAGAACTCTCTCATTCTTGTAAGGATTTGCATGGTTGAAAAATAGCAAGCAGAGCAGATTTATATTTTTATAAATATAGGGATATAATTATTGATAAATATATGGATATAAATGATATTTTTATGAATATATGGATATAAATGATATTTTTATGAATATATGGATATAAATGATATTTTTATGAATATATGGATATGAATGATATTTTTATGAATATATGGATATAAATGATATTTTTATGAATATATGGATATAAATGATATTTTTATGAATATATGGATATAAATTATATTTTGTCTATATATGGATATAAA